TAATTAATATTTTGTATTTTACTTCCAGCTTGATTTCCAAAAGAACTTATAATAGTTTTCCATGTATCTCACGTTTGGTTTTAAATTAAATTTTTCGCTAATGCCTTGTTTACAGGCAATTTTATCAGGTTATCCATAAATATGTGCTTAATCCAACCTTTATCATATACCGTAATTTAATATTGAAACAATAGGTTTTAATTAAACAAAATCACTTTGTAAAAATTAGCTTTGTCACAGAATTCGCAAACATAATTTTTTTTAAAAACTGATTACCCATTAATTATTATTTTATATAAATTTTGACACAGGCTAAAAGTGCTATCAAAGCCTGGATATGGGTTTGATTCTAACTATCTTGCCTGCCTTCATTGTTCCGATGTTGAACCACTCGACGAAGATAGCTCTGAGGACGATGAGAACTACGAAGAGGGGATTAAGGAAGAAACCCAATCGGTAAATGCACTCTTGTCTTTGGCTTCAGAAATTTCCGAAGTTGCTCACATATGTCGGAGATCGCTGCATGTGCAACCGATTCATCCCAGCTTGGCGCCAAAAGGAGCCCAGAACCTCTTTCAGGTATTCATGTTTCTTTTTTTTAATACAAAACACTATATAAAGTCATGGCGATATGCCTTTTCGATGCGGAAGAGCAATGAAATAACTTAGTTTTTTATATCTATAATGAGTAGGTTTTAATGCTTTAGACACATCTTGAATAGGATTTTTATTCGCAGTGGGTGATAATGGAGTAATAGTTTAATCTGCCCATAATGCTCCCCCTCGTTTTCGGGGGTTGGGGCGGAACAAACGCAAGTGTATAGGCCTTTCGTGCCCCTTTCAACTCAATTCATAGTGGGATTATCGATGAGCCGAACTTGTATTTTTCCGTTTTAATTAACTATGCTACTTTTATTAATAATGAGTAGCTTTCGATACTATTAGTGACTTCATTAACTGCTTTAATTATCATAGTCTACATAATGCAAAGTCGAAGTTCCTGTCTACCCCACTACAGGTCTTATTCCTACTTATGCATTAGGCATATAGTTAATGTAGTCGATTATAATGGCCTTTCAGCAATTCCACTACAAATGTGCTTACAATTGCAAGTGTCATTTCGAAAGTATATACTGTATTATTGCGGTTTGATTACCAATGGGGGTTCTGATGAGACTCATGCGAAGTTGAAACTGTACTCTGGTATGCCCTGTTTGAAAATACTCTTTGGGAGTCAAGACTAGATGAAGTTCAATGGCCATGAAGGCCTATTTGTCTGTATGAGACGATCTTACTACAATATGCGACCTATGTCGACTACTTCCGCTACTACATAGTCCACATGATTATCAAAGATGTCTCATTGGTACCGCAAGAATCAACTTTATTTATATGGAAGGTTGTGGTGTGGTATGGCCTTTTGTGTTGTTGCAGTTTTCTTTCGTTGTCTAGAAATTGTTTGACTTTGTCTTCGCAACTTGGTCATATTGGTAGGAAGACCTAGAGGAACACACATAGTCCGGATTCTATTGCATGCATGATCATTTCCAGAGTCGGATCGTGGACATGGTACAAGGTCACTCATCACTTTTTGGTTTCACACCGGTATATTCAGCTCGAAGAATAGTGACACAATGCATTTCTTTTTCATCTCTTTTGGTAACGATAGTGATATCAATTGTTATATTTCATCGCATTTTCCTATCACCATGTGCAGCCAATACGGAACGCGATGTATCTTCTCCATTTTTCCCAGATAGCGTCAGATTTGATTTCAGGGGAAAGCCCAGTCTTTATTTGGAAATATCT